TGGTCAAATTTTCAGTAGGTTCAGCCCATCAATACTTGTTACTAAGCACAGTTTATAACTTAAGGGAATAAAATGTCGCAGACTCCCCAATAGTAAGAATACGAGAGAGTCATTACTACAGGTACAACAAGAAAGCATTAAGGAAAACCATGCTTATTGAGATAAGGTGTCTGCCAATGCTGACCTCTCCTTCTAAAAATGTTAGCTGCCTGGCTGTCAATGCTTCCAGATTTACTGATCCAGAACAAGTATCTGGCTTCACTGGCTGCATACATCTTTGTGGTCAGTAAAATAGAAAAGTACTGAGGATCAACAAGATTCCCAAGCAACAAGCAATTTAAGAACAGAACCCTCAGTAGTTCTCTTTGCACAGGTTTTCTTTATAACCGTCATGAGATTCTGTGTATTAGTAGGATATAATCTTAAAAGAATGGTATGTATTAGTTACCTTCACTACACGTGTTTAGTTTAATACATTCAGGGAGCTTCAACAGAAATTCAAATGAATAGGTTTACTTCACAATACTGCATAATGTTGGGTTATAGTATTACCTATCATCACCTATCTTGTTCCAAGCTCTGCACTCAGCTGGAAAAGTGAAATGTATTCATCTACAGCTATCAACAGAATGCTCACACAGATACTACATGTCCCTAAAGCATCAAAATTTCTCCAATAAAGCTTTCTTTTACTGATCCACAGTATAGAAAGTGAAATGAAGGATCTGGTTGCAATAAGCAATGATTAAAACTTAAGATAAAAACCTCCTTTACCTTTTTACAAGCATTTGTTTTTTAATTTACACTGCTTGTGGTGTATGTGCAGTGCAGTACACACTCCCTGCATCGGTAAGATGCTGAAAAGTGAAGCCTAGTGATAATACATTTCCACTGTATCATCACAGGTTGCCAGTTTCTGAACAATGAAGGGTGCAGAAAAGAAAGGGCAGAGGCAGCTGTGGAGAAGCTATGGTTGGAGCAGAGCTGTCACTGCTGGAGAAGGGAGGGCAAACTCAGCATAATATGCATATCTGCACATTATAACAAGTATTCCCATATCCCCATTACCCCTCAGTGGAGATTTAAAGCTGTGTTCACACTTGTGCGGTGCAGTATATCGCTTGTGATTCGCACAGGAACTGCACCGCATTCCTGGGCAAATCACATGGGAATTTTGTGCAGTGCGACTGGAGCCATACATTTTGTATGGCTCAAATCGCACCGCATCCGCACCAAAAAGGTGCAGGACCCTTTTGTTGGTCCGCACTAGAATCCGATCGCATGGGTATTCACACTGCACTTTGAGGACTGATTTCGGGGTGTTGTTAACTTGACATACACACCCGCAGCGGTTCATATGAACGGGGTGTGATTGTGATGCGGTGCGGAATTCACACAGAAAATGCTGCGAATTGCGCACCGCATCAGTGTGAACCTAGGCTAAAGGATACGTTAACCTTTAAAAAAACATACTACGTAGTAAAGGGGCCTCAGTAGTGAAAGAAAAATTGCCTAGCTTAAAAAAATACAGCTTAGTTTACAAGAAATACCTAAAGGCCAATCTCAGCTTTCCCAAAGCCTGTTCACAAAATCTACAATCCTGACAGATCTACCCCATCTTGACACAGAAGCTGGGACACTCTGACCATTGAGTGTACACCCAGCATAACAGAAGTGAGCATTCTTCATAATCCACAGCTGAGCTCTGTGCATGCATCGGTCTTGATGGAGGAAGTGCGATCATTCCTGTGATCCTGGAGGTGTACCTAACGTATGATGTGTCCAAAATCCTGGGCAGGATGAGGGTGATCACTTCCAATTGTAGTTTTCCAGCCAGACTGCGGGAAAGCCAAGTTTAACCTACAGGTAGGGCATTTGAACCAAGGACCTATTTTGTAAGCTGCACAGTGGACCACTGGATTGCATAGTACAAAAGTGAACCTGGTCTTCAAAGCTGTAACTAATTTTCATTCTCAGGTTACTGTAGCTATGTTGTATATGCCTTCAAAAGTCTAGCAGCAAAATCAGAAAACCACTGTTGAACACAACAAGAGATGCTTCAACAGCTGATACAGGCAGAGTGGAACAAAACTGGTGAAAAAAAATCTGCTTACATAATTTACCATCTCACTACCATTTATTAAAATTATACATTGAATAAAACCAGACAGGAGAGAAATTTGGGAGCAGTAATTTCTGATTGTTTTTAAAGGTGCAAGCTCCATGAATGTCAAATGGACTCATGGATTTTGTTTACTGTGTTCACCAGACCTGAATACTTGTTCCAAGCAGGGAATCACTCTCACCGGTAAGCAAGGAATCACACTTCTCTCACAAGTAAGCAAGAATAATAGCTCTGGATCTTCCACCATAAAGCCGGCCATAGATGGATTGGATCTTGGCCGAGGGACTCAGGGACCTGCCAAGATTCGATCTATCTATGGGCAGGCTGGTTATACTGAAGTCAATCCATCCACTGACTTCAGTACAACCAGCTTGTCGGAGTTTTTTTGTGTGTGATCATCATTGAATTTTTCCATCAACACTAACTGTGTTAATGGGGGAATTTAGCAATTTTCTTTCTTTCCACCTGTGTCAGCAATGGTGGCTTTTATATTTCTATATATATACTGTAAAAAAAAACTCAATTTTTATTGTATCTTCAATTTATTAACACTGAAGGAAAATCCTCTGGAAATTCACTTTTTATTTTACATGACATAAAATTCAGTGTAAAGTTAAAGCCACAAATATTCCATTTACATTTATAGTTCTAATTATAGTTATTAAAACATCAGATGGAAGTCCATTCTTGAAGTTGTATCCTTTGAGGGTTTCCCCTCCCCTCCCCACTGCTGGATCAGGTCAGATCTGCACACAAGAGTATGTCATTGTGATTTTATATTGTCTGGTAACTCTCTGAGGTATATAAAGCTTGGTCAATCACTTTTGGTTGATGAAGTCTATGCATACACTGTAAGGCTCCATGCACACTGCTCCTAGAGGAGTTTAGCGTTTTGCCTGTAGAAGCAACTACAGTTATCCTATGTGTCCATGCACATTAGGTAGTCTAGAGGTGTTATTTAAGCTCAGCATTTAGAGGCAGAAAAAATCTGTTGTTTTGCGCTTTTGGTGAGCATTTTTGTGACAGAAAAAAAATGCTAAACGCTCCTAAACACTAGCACAAAAAATGCTCAAAATTAGCATTTTTTCTGCCAAGAGCACTAGCTGTTTTTTAAACCAGTGTGTATGGAGCCTAATGATTTAATTTTTTGTATAATATGGATTCATATTCACTGTCAAATACTCTCCTGAAAAAGTGAAAGCTGTTCATGAAACATGTAGAGAGAAATCCTAGATCTACAAAACATTTTATAGGTTATATGTTATGCTAAATTAGATCTGGGAAAACTGGAGGTGGCTATGAAAATTGATCACTGTGAACAATTAAGTGTGTATGGAGTACACCAGAGTGGTGAGTTACCGGATTCAATTTGTGATTTTAACTTTACATTGGATTTTATGTGGTATGAATAAAATTGTGACATTTTAACAAATCTTTCTTTTGTGTTATTTATAAATTTGATGTACCTGGAAAGTCCTGTTAAAATGAAGCTTATATATTTTTTTTTATATTTCTACCTTCTTCTTCCTTCTCTTCCTCAGCTCCTTCATTTGGCTAACAAGAGTAGAAAACAAAAGATGCCAATTGTAAATTCCATGTAGCAAATAACACAGGGCTAGGGATTTTGCCTCTTCCTCACCCACCATTTGACAGTGCTGGCTGCCTAAGCAGCAAATGACCAAGCACTAGCACTGTCTCTTGAGAGGAAGGAGCATAGGTCATACCCCAAGTATTGGATATTTAACTATTCTTCTTTCACCTGAATGGGAAGGGGGGTGGGGGTGACAATTGCCTTTTCCCTGTGTTGACAATGCCTTCTTTAAATGTATTGCAGTCAAAACACTAAAAAAAGACTTGTTACTGAGGGCACCTGCATCTTGCTCCCTGTTTTATTCAATTTGTACAAAGTAGCCGTTTAGGGGTAAAGAAAAAATGGCAGCAGCATGACATTATATTACTCAATTTACACATTGGGCTTAGGGGCTATGCTAAAATCTTATTTCTAGACTGTATCCTAGTGATGATGATTAACTCACAGCTTGGGTGTCAAGGCCAACTAAAACTGACACATTTGTTTTGTTTTTTTTTTTCTTTTTTTGAGGGGGGGGGGATGTTAAAAACCCACTGTTTTAATGGCTCTCTGATTTTCTGGTTTTAGAATGAACCAGTTCTCAGAGGCCAACATTAAGGATGTAAATTTTGCAGCTAGATTCCCTTGTTAGTTTACATAACTGAACTTTCAGCATGGCCGGTTTCAGGAGATTTCAGCAAGGAGAAAAAAAAGTAAAAAAAAAAAACTGACAACACAACAAAATACAGAAATATTGGGTTTGGGTTGACCTAAACTTACAATAGAACTGAAAAATGCATGAACATTTAAGGCCTATAGTGGGTATATACTACTATCAGTGACACTAGTGTGGAGATCCCTCTTCCCCTCCTTTCCAAGCCATGGAATGGCCATGGCCATGATGACTAGAGAGCTGCTGTAAGCTGGCCTTCCAGTCCATAAATTCCTATAATAAATCCACAGTGATAACAAAGTGCATTTTCTGAAACAACAGTTTAGCTTTTGCCATCTATGTTTTATAAAGCAACTAAATAAAATTAATATCAAGTTATAAAAAACCAAACCAGGTAGAATTATTTTAAGCCCTTTAAGCCATAACAGCACACAGATATCAGGAAGGAGACACAACACACCCAAAGTAACTCAGCATCCAATACAAGTTCACAAGGCATGCAAAGCGAGAAAGCAGCGCAGAGAAAGCCGCGTGCGAAGCAAGGATGGATTTTTAATGGTTTTACAACTTTATAAAAACAGTTAAATGCAGATGTGAGTGGGTTAAATGGGGGAAAAGCTATTTTTAGTTACCTTTCTCAGATTTCTTTAGGAAAGCTGGCGAGGAAGAAGGAATCATAGGTATTTTCATCAACTCTGCACGCTTTGAGTCATTCAGTAGAAAGTGGGACTTAAAGGACATAGAACTGACCAGGGTATAATCCTGAACTATCAGCCCTATACAAAACAAACAGAGAGATGCGGTCAATGAAAGCACCCATGATTCCACAAGGATCAACACAGAGTGGGGAGGGGGTGTGGAGGTTCAGGGAAGAAGAAGAAAACAATACAAATAAATAAAAAGACACAATGAGAAAATGAAAAGTAAACATGGGTGAAAAGAATGACATAAGAACAACTAAAATGAGAAAGTGACATGGGTGGTGTCAACATGTGGCTCTGTTTATGTTAACTAGGCCCTGCCTAATAGGATACCAAATCATGGCTAATCAGCGGCTGCATCATGATAGGGTTATCACAGTGCACCCCATGAAACTGCTATGAATGTGACACTGGGAAGGGAGGGACAGTCTCCAAACACAAGAGTATCAAGTAGAAACCCCCTGGTTGCCTACTGTGGGTCAGTTGGTGTTGCATCCAAAGTTCTTTTCAACCTTTACAAGCCACTAATTCATTAGAGCCAGAGGAATAATGAAGTTACAAGGCTCAATTCACAAAGCTTTAACACAAAGATAAGGAGCTTTCTTTTAATGACTGTCATTTTCAAATCTCAGTGGAATCAGCTGAAAATAAATTTCACTTTAAAAAAAAAACATTAAGATGCTTATCCTGGTATGTTAGCTTTCTGAATTGAACCTACAATGTCTTAAGAAACTGGAGGATGGGTAAAGTGTATAGGATGCAAACAATCAGAGCTTTCCAATGGCTGATGGAATATGACTGGCTGATAAAGGCTACACATTTTCCTATGTGTTCAAAATGTAACCCATATGTTTTAAAGAAGGAAATCCAATATGCAAGCACTTTGTGTTGTATCTCCTAGTGTGTCTTCTCTAAACATTCTCTACTTGAGCAGGTGATAAAATGCATATGCATTAGAAGCAAACCTATACAATCCATTAACTTCATGTAAATGTAAATTCTCAGTTTCTAAAAACTGCACCTCTAGACCTCACAGGCAATGTCTACTGTTCTAATACTGAATTTCCAAAAGTAAGACTCCCAACACCCAAATACATAGTGTGGTTCCATTGACTCACTGAAAGAATGCTCTGTGGAATAAAATGGGGACATTTATAAGCTGGCCTTACACTAGCAGAATTTCAAATGTTTTGAATCAAAAACTTTCTTTCAATTTTCTGTTAGTGGGGCCAAATCGAAGTTCATTTTAGACTGCAGCGAGAAAAAATTTGAACGAGAAGGATAGAGAATTTTTCTTGAGTAAACACATTTCTAACAATGCACTTGGTTTTTTGTTTAGAAAAGTTCATTCATTGCAAAATTGATTGTTAAAAGCAAGCAAAATTTTTAATTACTTTCAAATGACATTTGTCAAGTCATCAAACGTACTGAGAATTGTCGTACAAATTCTAATAGTGTATTGCCAGCTTTAGAGTACAACTGAAACAAGCCTGGACAATGCTGACCAAGCATATGATGAGGTTACCTTCAATCTGATATCCAAAACAATCTGTAGTTTCAGATATATAGGCATCTGAAATATTTGAAGGGAACAAACCCTCTTTTGGTAGTGAAAGTCACCATTAACTTTCCCAACAAATCCAAAATGTATATATAACTTTGCCTGTACCATTTTTTATGTAAGCTATGCCCATGCTTGTGAAAGGTTTCGTTTCAGGTCTTACTTTAAGGAAGTCAGTATTTGCATACTAACAACAGAAAACTATAATCCACTCTGTTATATGTTATATACTGGCACTTCCATGGCGATTGTGACTTGTACATGTAGTCTTCTGTTATAGCAGGTTTGCTTTAAGATAATCTTTGAAATAAAAGAAACTGTATCATATGATTTTCTAGCTTGCACAGGATAGTATTCTGGAACATTGGGTTATACTGCCACCTGCCACCTTCAGGAGTTTGAAAAGTGGCAAAGCACGGCTGTAAAGACAGCCAAGTATAATTCCTTCTGCTGCCAATATGCCTCAGTTTTGTAGCAAGCAATGATAGGAGTGGATCATAAGAACAGAGGGGAGGGACCTGTGACCCATAACGTGCTCCAAGAAAAGGTTTTTAAATGTAAGACAATACTCCTATTTTCTTAGAACAAAAACAGAACACAGGATAGTATTCTGAAACATTTAGACATCCAAAAGCAGTCCACATGAAATGTATGGCAACAGCAAAAAAAAAAAAACTAACGGCCTCACATAAAGAAAAACCAATAGGCTAACAAAGGCAGCTCAAGGGAGCCTACAGTGCCACCTAAAGAACCTTACAACTGAAGCCGTCATCAGCTGAGGTCCAAATATCCCCCTGGTAAAACTCAAAGTGGTTTTAAACTTTTACATATACCCAGTCCAGTAACTAGCCTCAATTGATACACAGAGATTAAACAAATCCTCCTATACAACTTGTACACTTTTTATATGCAGCCATTTGTCCTATACAGCCTTCTACAACCGACAGATGAAAGGATTTTTCTCAGCAGCAAAAAGCAGGGGGCAGGGATCTGATATGATCCACACTGCATAGCTATAGCACAGAGCTGAGTGTAATCTGAGAGCTAATTGGAGGAAAGTGACATAACCCCCTCTATACAGTCTCAAGGAAACATAGAATTGATTGTATGAGTCATCTGCTGTGTGCTGGTGGGGCAGAAGGTGGTCTCTTGGGAGGCTGAAGTATCGGCCTAATCTATTAGAAATAAGTCATGCAGACAGCAGAGAGAGGAGAGATCATAGAGGAGCCAGAATCAGTGGGTTGGAATCAGGTTAATACACACTATCATGGCACACGCTTTGTTCATTTTTCATGTCTGAGCTTTATAACCACTTTAAAGAATGTGTGAATAGAAGAACAGGTGGCAGACTTGCAAATCTGAGAAACAGATGCCTGATACTAAAAAGCCTATGAAGCAATAACTGATCTAGTGGAGTGTGCCTTGATTGGGAAAGGGGAATCTTGCATCTGAGGACATGAATGATAAGCTGATAAATCCACCTAATGATAGTGGAACAAAAATCGTACTTCTCCCATTCAGGGGCCTTCAGGGATGACAAAGAGAGAGACAAACTGACAAAGGGGAGTTGTAGCTGAGATATAGGATCAAACAGTATTTACCACATCCAGACAATGGAGTGAAATTGACTTAGGAGGTTTAGATGCAGAATAGGGAGATACTAGAACAATGTCCTGGTTAAGGGGAAAGCAAGAAACCACACTGGGAAGAAAGAAGGATCTGGGCCCTTAAAACAACCTTATCCTTGTGTAGCATGCTTCCTCCAGTCCAAGGTCCTGCACTGAGAGAGTATCAAGGACTCCTCCCCAGCCAAACTGGCTGGTATCCATCATCAGAACTTTCCAAGCCATTGTGAGGAAGTATTTTCCTGTTGCCAGGACGCAGGCATCTGAAGACTTAGGATTTACCCAAACCTCTGTAACATTTGCATGGCCTGTCAGACATTAGCTGGCAGAGATTGTGCCAATCATTTCCTCAGAAAAAAAGATCAAAGATAGACTCAAAAGATCAAAGATAGGAGGAGAAATAAAGGGGCCCACTTCCCACAAGCACTCCAACAATACCAAAAGCTTACCAATCCGCCTGTCCCAAAATGGCACACACATGGGCCATGTGCCTGACTTAGAAGGAGATTGCTCAGTGAGGGAGCTTGGGTCAAACAACTGGCAAACAAAAATAGGTGGCAGATTTAAAATTAAAAAAACAATCCTCTTCTGCTGCCTCGTTTGCGACTGAATGTTTTGCACATGGTGCTCCGTTGTTTTACTCCTAGAAGACCAAAGCAGTACACCTAGATTTTAATGGACAAGGATCCCTACTTATCACAGCAGCCTTCCATCCTGCATCATCCTCAAGGCAGAAAGGCAAAGAGTTAAGCCCTATTCACTGGTCTTCTCCCATCTGGTGGGCTTTCTCACTAAGGAGTCTTCAGGGACTGGGTTCCACCAGATGGAGTTACCTTGGCCCTGGACCTGTACAGTACCCTGTGGCTAACTCAACACATACTTAAGCACCAAACGCAGGATCGAGTACCCGGAGAATGGCTAGCCTCTCACCTTCTTCTTGGCAGGGTTAGGGTATGGTGAAAAATGAGCCTCAGTGACTTTGCAGCAATTGAAGAAAAAATATCTTGATAAAAAGTAAAAAGGTTTTGTTTCTCTCAAAGCAATAATAAATCCATTTAGCTAAGGACACTACCAAAAACTTGATGTATTTTGTGAGTAGAAGGCTGTCCTTAAAGCTTTATTTTGCCCTTTTCAAGTCTCCTTGAGATGACGGTATAACCCAACATTCCAGAATACTGGCCCTCTGCCCATGATATATGATCAAAAAATTATTTCTGTAAAATTGCTGCAAATACATAGAAAGCACTTGTTAAGGCCATTCAAGTATATCTAAAACTAAATCATTATTTTTTGGTTTTGGATGGAGATGTACATGATTAGCCTCTCAAAAGATCCCTTCTTAGAGGGTTGTCATTGGAACTGACACTCACATTGGAAGATTTTCCCTCACCTCTTGTTCTAGAGATGACAGTAAAATTTTGGATTTCCAATCACACAGTTCTAATTCCATAGGCAAGAATCTGCAGGTTCCTGCAATGAAATGACAGGTGTGTGCAAGACGTTGAGGTTGCTGAGCTCATACAATACAATGATAGCCTGATGGCGGCCTCATCTGTCTGTGACAATTTGCACTTTTTTCACACAGCCAATGATTTTCTGTGGTTAGGGATAGATGATAATGGTTGGACACAGATTCCTGCCTCTGAATTTAGCTGTGTGTGTTGTATTGTGTGCAACCTGTTTCATGGTGCATAATATGAATGAGGCCTTAGATACAGAGGAAAGAGGATCTAACCCTTCCCAACTCTACCTAAAACCTACCTAAACCTAAACAAAAAAAAAAAGTTTTGGCTTTACATACACTATAAAGGCAAAGGGAACATCTTGCAAGTAAGAGATCTTTTTGGAGTCTGTTTTTGCACCTACATTCAACTCGCTACAATTGGTTA